AGAGCACACAACTCAGAGGCACTCTGACGTGTTGTAGCTCGGATTTTGGCTTGTTTTTGTGAGCGGGTGAAACAGAAGGACAAAAATAAAAAAAGAAACCATATGTGATAGCTGTATCCGTTCCAGGAAGAGTTTTACGACAGGGTAACACAGACAACATGCAAAACAGTCCAAGGTACACTTACCTATCATGACAGGGTTCCTTCTCCTGTAAGAAAAAAGAACTTTGTTAGTGACCTCATCTTTCCAAATCAGCAGTTATACTACACGCCACATCGGCACTGTCTCGCTCCACAGTCAGGACCAAGCAGAGGGTTCACAGACCTCCTGCAGCTAACAACACCACTATATCACTTTCAAAGACATTCAAATTTGAGTCAGTATTTTAAGTGGTCGCTTGCATTCAAAAGCCTCTGATATTGGAGGAGAATGCCGGTGCTCTATTGAGGATCGGCTCGCTTGAATACCGTGAGCTGATGAATAGATCTCCCCATTATCTTTTTCCATCGCTCACTGACCCCTCCATTATTAGGTGACTGCTGACTGCGGTGAATAGGGGCCCGAGGAGAGCACTTCCCAGGGCTCTCCAGGCAGTGGGCTTGGTCAGAGCTGTCAGTGCATGTAACTGCTGATTCATTTGCTGTCAAAAGCTTGCATTGTGAGTGACCACTGCGGGAGGCAAGGCCGATTGAGGGAAAGAAGGTTTTCCTCAAGGAAGGAATGTGCAACCATTTAATTTTTAGACTTTGCCAAAAAAGAAAAAAAAATCTGCAGTAGATTACAGGAAATTTATGTGTGGTGATGGGGAAGAGGTTGGTGTGAGGGTTATGAAAAATCATCTTTTTCCTGAGTAAATATGCAAACGCTAAATTTACAAATACGTGGCAAAAGCTCACCTGAACTTCATCCTCAGGAAATCCATTGTCTTTAATAAGAAAAGGATGAGCACTGTGACATTCTTGTTCCACAGAAGTGATACTGTTGTCAAAAGTCTTTGATCTATGCGATCTGCTTCGCTGTTGGCCTGAGGATGACACTGGCTGATGATCGGCCTCCCCGTCAGAGAGTGGGCTCGCTGCAAGAGGTGAATCTACTCGGTGTACTGGTGACAGGGGACTTATGGGGGATCCCGTGCTTGCAGATGATTGCTCTTCCTGAGTGCTCCCCATCCTGTGAGGCTCTCTAAAATCTATCTGAGGACGTCGTGTGCTCCTCATCCTCCTCAAGGTGGGAGATGTGGAGATACGTCCAGGAGCCTGGCGGTCAAACTGAAAGAAAGGTGGAGCCGAGTTGTCTGGGTTTACCAAAGACAAATGTCTCATTTTGGAGTGTGTCCGTTTGAGATCTATGTGCATTATGACTGGGTTACTGGTCTGGCTCTCTTTGTGCTCAAAAGATGGCGAGTCCGTTTGCGTCTCAGCATCCGCCACACCTGTTGTGACAACTTCATTTTCAGCCCATTCAATGTAGCTCCAGTCCAGCTTCTTTTCATTGTCTGTGTCCTTATCCTGCAGAATAACGTGCTTTAGAGAAGACATTGTAACCTCAAAGGCATTGTAGGGCTGCATAGATCAGGAAATGTGTAATCTTATAGTCTGAT